TTTTTTTTTTTTTGGTGGCTTTTTGAGACAGGGTTTCCCTGTAGCTATGGCTGTCCTGGAACTTAAAGAGATCCACCTGCCTCTGCCTCCCAAATGCTGGGATTAAAGGTGTGCGCCACCACCGTCTGGCAATATCTTTATCTTTATAGAAGGCATTTAAGTAAAAATACCACCAAAAGGTAGTTTATTTGCTCAAGATACAGTGAAACTATAGCAAGAGATTTTAAGTCCTACAATGTAAAAAAATAAAATGAACCAAAGATTGTGTTGCTGACACCTGCAGACTAACGTATAGACTGCTATGAGAGCAGCTTTATACTCAGGATGTGGCAATGGGTGCAGCACAGACGAATTTCCATGTCATCTTAGAAACACTGAGTCATGAACATCAAAGATGGACATGAAGAATTCAGCACAGGGACAACACAATAAAATTAATAGTCACCAGGGAGCTGTCCACATGCCCCAGTAGTTAAGAGTTCTTGTTCTTGCTGGGTTCAGTTCCCAAGCACCCACAATTACCTGTTCTTTCCTGGATCTCATGCATGCCTTTAATCCCAGCACTAGGGGGGCAGAGCCAGGTGATGTCTGTGAGTTCGAGGCCAGACTAGGATGCAAGACAGGTACCAAAATTACACAGAGAAACCCTGTCTCGAAAAACCAAAAACACAGGACAAGGCACACCCTTTAATCCTAGCACTCAGAAGGTGGAGGCAGGCATATCTGATCTGAGTTTGAAGCCAGTCTGGGTTCCATAGACAAACCCTGCCTCCAAACAAATGAACAGAACACAGGCAGCAGGTATGGTGGTGCGCTCTTTTAATCCCAGCCCCAAGGAGCAACTTCAATGAGTTCTGGGCCAGCCAGTCAGAATGAACACCACAGCCTGCCTCAAAAATGAAAATTGAACCACAAGGCACATAAGTGCAGACTATGGCCATGTTGGGTGTGGTAGTGATGCCTTTCATCCCAGCCACTCAGGCTGAGGCAGGAAGGCTGGTATGAGGCTAGCAGCCCAGGCAACTTAGTTACATTCTGTCTCAAAAAAGCAAACAAAAGCCAGAGGAGGAGCTGGGCAGAATGCTTGCTCAATCATGTCTGAGGACTTTTGTCCAGATCACCAGCATCACATAAAAAGCTGGGTGGTGGTTTGGCAGTAGGTGGTACATGCCTGAGGCAGGAGGCAGACAGATCCGAGTTCGAGGCCAGCCTGGTCTACAGAGTGAGTTTCAGGACAGCCCAGGGATACAGAGACTCTGTCTTGAAAAACAAACCAACCAACCAAAGAAACAAAAAAACAAAAACTCAAAAAGCTGGGTGGTAATGTCTGTAATACCAGTACCAGGGATAAAAACCCAGGGTTCACTGGCCAGCCAGTCTAGCTCAATCAATGATCCAGTGAAAGACTATTATTTTAAAAAACTGAGCTGGACAGGGTAAGAAATCGGCTGCTAATGCGAGCACATGGAGCACTAACTGTTGTTACATAGCTCTACAACCTCACTGTGTTCTCGAACCCCTAAAGCTTCAGTCATGAATGAGACCTCTCACTGCATTATGCCACTAGCAACTTTGTAAGTCCAGCAGAGCTAGTTTTGCTCATGAAACTTCCTCAATTATTCCAATAGATCCTTTTACCTAAAACACCTACTATACAGGACTTTCTATACTTAAATAGGTAGACAGGCTCTACTTGGGTTCAGGTTGGTTCCTGGATGCTGTAACAGGCAGCATACACTCCTAATGCTTACTAGGTTAACCTTACCTTTCTTCTCTCCTAAGCAAGCCATGTTTTAGATACTGTCGTGTTTGAAATACTCTTCTTACCCATTCAGGGATAGAAAATTTGGCATTTCCACACCCTTGCTTTAAAAAACAAAAGCAAGTGTTTGGTGGTGGTGGTGGTGGTGGTGGTGGTGGTGGCGGCGGCGGCGGCGGTGGTGGCGGCGGCGGCGGCGGCGCACGCCTCAAATCCCAGCACTCGGGAGGCAGAGGCAGGCGGATCTGAGTTCAAGGCCAGCCTAGGCTACCAAGTGAGTTCCAGGAAAGGCGCAAAGCTACACAGAGAAACCCTGTCTTGAAAAACCAAACCAAACCAAACCAAAACAAAACAAAAAGCCCCACATAAAGTAGATCTCAACCACATCAGCTGTTTTAAGGCAGTGCCAAAGGAAGATGCAAAGACTACATTCTCAAAGAGTACTCACTTGAAGATCACTTCTTACACATCGGTGAAAGAGAATGTGGAGTATTAACTCAAGATGCTGGAGGCCTAACATCTGGCTGAAGAATCTAACAGAAACAGGTTATGATGGACCATACCTGCGGAATCGTGGTCTGTAACCCCGATACATATTCTGTCTCACTGGTCTACCTTGCTCTCCTGCACCCTGGTTGTCAGCACCCTGAAAAGACACCAGAAAATCTATTAATAACAAGAACAAAATCCCATTCAGGCAACTTCAAACTTTTGTTTCTTTGTTACTTTAAAACAGGGTCTCTACAAAGCCCCTGGCTGTCCTCCAGAACTGGGATTAAAGGCATGCACCTCCACCTCCTGGCAAATTCCAACTGAGTGCAACATTATCTACTAGTTATGATCACACCATAAATTAACAAGCTTGGTGGTTCTTCACATTCAAAAGTGTATTCTGTGGGTAACAGGTTAGTTAATTTCTGGGAAAATTTCCAGGAGTTAGTTAAAATACAGTCTTCTCAAAAGCCGTTGTTACAAGGAGTTAAGTTGGGTTGGTTCTCACTTAGCACTTACCTAGCCCTGGGTTCCATTCCTAGGACACAAAAGAGACAGCACAAAAACGCTGTTACATACACACTGACCCTTACCTCCATCACTTCTCCTTGCACAGGAGGGTTGGAATACTGTGGTCGACGCCCATAGGGTCTCCTCAAGTAGTAAGGTGGGAACCTTCGCCTGCGATAGGGCCGGCGTTGTTGGGCTTGGCCTTCAGGAGCGCTTTCCGACCCCTCGTTCTTTTCCCCACTCTCACTATTCTGGTAATTTTGCTGGTAATTGCGTGGAGGACCCCTACGACGTGGATAGCGTCTATAATGGTTACGGTCTGCTGCGTATTTACTGCCTTGAACTGGAACTCCACCAGGTCCTGTAACATTTGCTGCCTCCGCACCCTACAAAAGCCATTATTTATTGATAATAACAAACAAAATCCAAATATTCAATAAATTTCACACAAGCTGGGGAGGGAAAAAAAACAACAAAACAAACAACCTAAGAGCAAACAAAATGGAGGGAGGTTGTCTGCATGGGCAAAGGGTGCATGGGAATGACTACATCATCAGCTCCTCCTCACTCTTCTGAAGGACTGCTTCTCTAACTGCAGCCAGCACATTAGGCTCGATGCACCTGTGTTCATGTGGTCACCAGAACACATCATCCATCCAATTTGAGCCACCATCCTAATGGATGACATCTCCACATTATTTCCATACCGAAGTCAAACCTTTACACAAAAAGCATCCTCACCTTTTCTCCTTCAACAACATCAAACTCCACAGTCTCTCCATCTCCTACACTGCGAAGGTACTTCCTGGGGTTATTCTTCTTTATGGCAGTCTAGTAACATCATTCCAAAAATAGATTAACAGGGGAGAAGAATGTGCTTTTTCATTTAAAATGTACCACCGTCAATATCATTTAGCTTGGATAGATACTTAATATTTGCTTTATAAGACCAAACTGTCAATAGTTTAGGAAAGCAGGGACCAATGTTACCCCCAACCTCTACCAAAAGACTCCAATCTTACAAGGCCCCAGCATTTTATCACTATTTACAAAACTAAAGTAATTTAATACCCAAGACAGACAACAAAGTGTTTAAAGATGCTTTTTGCAAAAGTATCACATATAAAGCTTGGAACAAAATAAGACCTCCATCTATCCCCCAAAGACTGCACTTAATAGTAGAAGCTAGCCCGACACACGGCCAGTTTAGATGACAGGCAAGTTTAGTTTTACATGCTTCAACTTTGACCATACCAACTCTTGTCCCTTTACCATATCAAACTCAATTACAAATGTCAACCAAAATCCCTTCCAGCCTGTCTATGAGTACTTCCAAGGAAATGCATTTCACGTGTATCTATGCCACTCTTATATTGCTCTCTCTGTATGAGACTATTGGTTATTACCTCCCCAGAAAACAGTTAAGTCTTACATTATATAGGGCTTAAAAAATTATGAAGTGCCCAAGGTCACACAGCTATTAAGTGGCAGGGGAACTTTTCTAAATCCATGTCTTGGGACTCCAAATCCCACGTTCATTCCACATCACAGCAGTATCCATTACAGGATCACTCATGCATTTCCATTCCAGAGGAGGCCGGACAACCAACAAATCTGAGGCCAATTAAGCTCCGGTGCCCAGAACTGCAGTCTACTTGATACACCACCACAACCTGAGCAGCCAAAGTCCCAAGAACAACTCTATGTTGAAACCGCTTGCAAAATAAATAGGAAAGCATATTGGTGACACCTTGTGGGATAGTAAAACTGGGTGAGTTGAGTCAAATAATTGATCTCATCTGTCATCTGAACTGTCGTAGTTTCATTCCTTTTATATGTAGCCAACTCTCAATTATTTGCAGTCATAAGGGATAGCAGAAGTATGCATTAAAATCCCCAAACAAGTTAGTCAACATCTTTAGCCCCTTCTGATCTCATGGTTGTCAGTGGCAGCAAGACTAATAAGTCTTGTTGCTTCTTATCTGTTACGTCTGCATATTATTTCTTGTAACAAGAACAGGTAAGAGTCACCTTAGCCAAACAAGAACATTAATCTTTTAAAGGTTACATTTTGTCTAAGCAGTTAAATTACATTTAGAATTTGAATGTTTGCATACTTACATTCCATAGGGTTTTGAATATACTAGAAATCTACAGGGCCTCCCTCCCCTTCTGACTCTCAATGTATGCTGTGTAGGACACTTCAAAGAATTACAAAATGCTACCCTGTTTGTTAACCACCTCTCCTAAGGAGGATGCAGCCACTCAAACTCTTAGTTGAACAGTGGCGAGTACAGAAACTGATGCTAGGTCTTTTGATCTCCAGTCAGTTTAAAAAAAATAAATAAATAAAATAAACAAATAATAGAAGGTTGAAAATTCTTAAAACAACCTTCAACACAAGTGGATATTTCAACAGTCCTAGTGAAAAGCTGATCACCTGGAAGCACACATAAAGTGATGTTATTTCCTAACCCACTTCACTTGGAGACAAGTCTGACGCTGGCAGTGTACCACTCACTCGGCAGCATCTTACTTTACCAATAATTCCTTTTTTTCCCCCCCAAGACGGGGGTTTCTCTGTGTAGCCCTGCTGTCCTGGAACTCCCTCTATAAACCAGGCTGGCCTTGAACTCAGATCCGCCTGCTCTGCCTCTCTAGTGCTGGGATTAAAGGTGTGAGTGCCACCACCGCCCAGCATTTATCATTAATTCTTAAATCCTCAATGTTCAGTCATTTTCCTAGTCAGTATGTTTATTTGGCTAAGTTTTCTTCTCCAAAAACATTGGCAGCCAATTAAAGTAATTTACTGACCAATTACAATTCTGCTGTAATGCCTTCCACTTAAGTTGGATTACTAGTGAGGATTTAAATACCCAGCCAATGCTAAAAGGTGAAAACGCAACACACCACTATTGAAAAAATGCTTTTTAGAATGAATAAAAAGAGCCATCCTAGACAGTGTTGGGTTTCTATTTTCTTCAGTAACTGTTTAGTAGCTCTGTCCTATAAAGATCTGTCCTTACCAAAGTTGGACCTGACTATAACAGCACCTGGAAATGTCTTCCAAATGTTTCTGTGTATTTAAAGCAACATTATTCAAGCTTAGACTCATGGTGGTTATTTGTCTGAAACTAGGCACGAAAGAAAACTGTGTGCCATCAGTTGAACAGATTCAACATTTTAAAACGTTGTTTTAAATTATTAATGGAATTCCTAATCATAACACTTTTTGAAATTAAGTGGACTCTCCAGTGCAATGCTTCACTCTACACTTTAATCACAGGATTACTTTTCAGATGCAGGAACTAAATAAACTCACCCTTGGACTTAATCTTTAGCAAAGAAGCATGGCTGAGAACACACCCACCCATTTATTCTCACAAGCCTTGAGCCACAAGTGCAGAGAATCAATGTAAGCACTCACCTGGTGTACAAATACGTCTTCCTTGGTGTCATTCCTACAAGACAGAACCAAGATTAACAAGTGAAAAAGCTGAATGTATGTTTCACTGCCTAAAAGTGATTAAGAACAGCCTGGCCTACAAATTAAGTCCCAGGTCAGCCAGGTTACATAGAGAAACCAGTCTTGGGAGAGGGAAAAAAAAAAAAAAAAGCCAAGACAAAACTAAATAGTCTGGTCAGTGGACATCCTCGATTTCCCCAGACTTCCTAACTGTCCAAGATTAAGTGGAAAATCATTTCTATCTTTTGAGTGTGGGCAGGGGCGACAACAACATTAAAAACCTGGAGAAACAAATTTCCACACCTTCAGTGATCGATCGGCCCTACCTTCTTCACCAGGAAAAAGGCACAGTGAAACCACAAGCTACATGAACTGTTTTAAAGCCTAAACTGTTGGAAACAGAGATAAGCCCACCTGTAAGAAAGCAAACAAGTCTAAGGCAACCAACTGATCTGTAATTCCAAAGGACAGGTGACAAGCAACACCCCTCCCACTCCTTACCCTATAAAACATTAACAATAACCTAGCACACACCCCTTTATCTGCAGACCAGCATTACTAAGAGAAGGAGTCAGTCTCACTTCCTCCTCATTTCTAACCTCCACATTCCCCAAGGTAATAAAAATGACCACAAAAAGTTCTCTAGAAAACACAACCCAGAGAATGAAACTTAATGTACACTATGTACATTACACCTTACTTATGTGCCTGACACTGTTCCCAATAACACCCCCCTTCACTTCCACCATAGATGTCACAATCCTTAGTCAAGTGAATATATCCAGCAAAGCTTATTTTTTGACAGCTTCAAGTCCAGCCTGGTCTTGAACCTATGACAGACAGTTCTGCTTCAGCTTCCAGTGCTGCCTGGGATTAGTTACAGGGGTTTACCAGGAAACCAGACAGTCTTTCATTAGAAGAATGTGAATGTGGTGTGGTTCAAGTATTGCATAAAATGTAAGGGAACATCTGAATAGGCAGAGCCCAGCAAGTTAGTTAGGTCAAAGTTCAAATAGGAACTGACCAAGTCTTACACTAAATGACCACCCAATGAAGATATTTAGGTTATCTTTCTTGGGACCACAATGGAGGAAACTGAATGTGAGGATGAAGTGGGAAATCATCTGTCTTGAGTGTGGGCAGGGCTGACAACATTAGGAACCTGAAGAACCACTGGAGAAATATTTCCTTCCTCTCCTTTAGTGACCCACTCCACCCTTTTCACCATTACTAAGCCAGAGAAATGGCTTGGTATTAGCTAATATTTTAGCATTTAATAACCAAAGATGCCACTGGCATAACTGTTAAGCAAAAAGACCTGCCTCAAGTGCTGGGATTAACAGAAGTGTGTACCACCTCATCCAACCTCAGCATTTGTTGTTTTAATATGCTTTAAACCGATGGGGCCAATAAGATGGTTCAGCAAGTAAAGGTGCTTACTGACAACGTGAGTCTGACTCCTGGAACTCATAGATGGATAATTCCTGTAAGCTGTCCTCTGACCTCCAAATGTTCCCAACTCCCCAATAAATAAATGCAATAAAATAATGAATGTGCTGGACATGATGGTGTAAACCTTTAATCCCAACACTTGGGGGGTTGGGGATTTAGCTCAGTGGTAGTAGAATGCTTGCCTAGCAAGTACAAGGCCCCGGGTTCGGTCCAGCTCCAAAAAACAAACAAACAAACAAACAAACACTTGGAAGACAGAGGTAGACAGATTTCTGTGAGTCCAAGACAGCCAGGGATACACAGAGAGATCCTGTCTCAAAAATCCAGAGTATGCTTTAAATTCAGTGAAAAGGAAATTTCCGAAGGGTATTGTTTTTTGGCCCACAATAAACAGTTATGTATGAACTTACTTCTGATAAAATGTTATGTATCTAGTTAGGACAGCTTTTAAAAATAGGATTATGCTAGCAATAAGACAGTATTCCCTATTGTCTTGTGACTAGACTGAGGGGTATCATTAAAGTGTATGTAGCTGTCAGGAAGAAGCTTGACAGTTACAAAACAGTTTCGAGCAAGCTAAAATATCATCAGTTTGAACACTTTAGACCAATGTAGTTACAGCTTATTAAAATGACAGATTAATTTAAGGAACGGAACTAGTTAACAAGAAACCTGACTTTTCGGTCTTGATTCTAACATTAGCCCTATAGCCTTGAAAAGCTACCCCCTTACTTTACCCACAAAAGGAAAATACTGTAGGTGCTATAGAGATGGCTCAGTTGAATCCAGGAGACTCAATGCCCTCTTATCATCTCTGTGGGCACCAGGCAAACATGTGGTGCACACATACACAGCAGTCTGGATTATTGAAGATTAACTTTTAAACATTACACTAGGCGTTTCAAATACGCCATTTAATCCCCACAATTCCGACATAGGTAGCATCATTAACCCCTACTATTGGGGGATTTGAGTCAAAAGGAGGTTTATTTTGGGGGGTAACTTACAGCTAGTAAAGGGGTTGGTTATAGGATCCAGGAGAGGTGAGGAACTAGGTCCTCTGGAGAACTCCACTCAGTCTACCATACAGCATCCAGGGTCACCAAGAACCAAGAGAGTCAACACATAAGGATCTTGGGTCTTAAGGGCTCCTGTCTCGGCCCCGCCTCAGGGGCAGGTCATAGGTAGGCCTGACAGTTACTGGAAGGCTAATGGTGGTGGGGTGGTAGTACTTCCACTACACCCTACCAGCTTCACAAAGCAAGGAATTGAAATACAACCTGTTGCCATTTGTTCTTAGCACTGACTTCTGACTTGATGGGGGGCTCTGGCCCTTACCACATTGGAATTAAAAAAAAAAAAAAAAAAAAACCTCTTACATTTACTTTTAAATAATTTTCAAAAAGAATTTTCACTTATATGTACTTGCATGTCTTTCTTGTATGTCTTTCTGAGTAAATGCTAGGTGTATGCTAGGTGTCTGGGGAGGCCAGAAGTGGGCGTCAGATCTCACTGAAGCTGGAGTTTACAGGTGTTAGGAAGTCAACTGGGGTCCTATGAAAAGAACATTCAGTACTTTGTAAACACTGACCCACCTTTTCCAGCCCACATCTTAACCTTTAAAGGAGATTAAAACACAATTGTAGGATGACTAGTAGTAACAAGAATCCCTATATGCTTTCCTAATGTAGGTCAAGGAGGACAAAAGCAGATTCCCCCTTTCATTATCATCTGTGCCTCACACTCGAAAGCATTTACTGGATATGCCTACCATTCAAACCTTACTATTTCTTTTCTTTTTTTCTTTCTTTCTTTTTTTTGGTTTTTTTCAAGACAGGGTTTCTCTGTGTAGCTTTGCGCCTTTCCTGGAACTCATCTGTAGAGGAGGCTGGCCTTGAACTCACAGAGATCCGCCTGCCTCTGCCTCCTAAGTGCTGGGATTAAAGGCGTGCACCATCCCCACCCCCGGCTTACAATTACTATTTCTATTCTACCCAATCTACCCAGACCACCACCAAGGTTCTTCTTAACCAAACCAAACCAAAAAACAAAAACCCCCAACCCAAACAGGAACAAAAGGACAACAAAAAAATTGAGCTTTCTCAAAGAAATCATCCAATCATGGTGCTGGGGATTGAAAAGCTAAAAATTTAAGTGTTTTTTTTTTTTTAACATACTTTACTGCCTTAAATAAGACATAACGTAAATTCATTCACAATGTTCTATAGGCCATTAGAACTGCTGCCATAATTTCTAAGCCTTGAAAGCTTGCCCTAAAGTCACAAATCCCACTTAATCCTTATTTGCTCTCTAGGCAGACATACCATCTTTTTTCAGACATGACCAACCATGCTTCCAAGGGTCTAGACAGGCCTGAAGGCCACCCAACTCCACAACCATAGTCTCAGGCTAAGGAAAACAAAGCTAATGTACTTGCTGCTCTTTCTGGGGAATTAAGAGCAAATGATTTTACTTGGCAGAAAGAGGGAAAGAACCACCACAAGATGAGGATTCTGTTCCAAGTTCTAAGTCAGTGACTGAGTGAATGAATAGTGACTACCCACACACAGGTAGCTCACTCTTCAAGTTTTGTTGTGAGCAAGTCAAGAGTCCCAGGATTAAGTCAACCTCTTGCATGTCCCTTCTTTAAACACTGTTAAGGAGTCCTCAGCCTTCTTGTGCAACACCTATTTTAGTGGACACACATTAAGAGACTGTGATTTTCTTTCTGTTCTTGATGAGCTGGACCCCAATCCCTACTCCCCCCGCCCCAGAATTCCCTTTGTACTTGAAGCACCTTCAAAAGGGTTACTCTTCACAGCTATGGCCAAGTAGGCTTTCTTGTATTGTTTAATGTGTCATTTTTGGTCATTTGTATGTCATTTTGACGATACAGCTTCCTAGCAGTATGAAGAACAAGACTCTTGCCCATCCTGCCAGAGTGAAACCTCAGCTAAGCAGTAAAAAGCAGCCTTTACAAAAAAAAAAAAAAAAAAAAAAAAAGGGGGGGGGGGGGGGAAAAAAACCAAGCCAGGTGTGGTGGTGCCTGCCTTTATTTAATCCCAGAGGCAGACAGGGGCCTCCCCTGATCATGGCAATTCTTCAAATGAGCTTCTCCCTTCCCAGGTGACTCTAGGTTGTATCAAGTCTACAATAAAAGCTAAGCCAGGCAGATTTCTTGAGTTCCAGGTCAGCCTGGTCAACAGAATGAGTTCTAGGACAGCCAGGGATACACAGAGAAACCTTGTCTCAAAAAACAATCAAGATGATACCAGTTCTGTTTGGGAAACACCTATAATCTAGCACCCCTAAAGACCCATTTTTACTACCTCAAAAGTCAACAAAAACAAAAAGGTCTAGGAGGGCCAATATTCTTTCCTTTCATTCCTCAACTGCATCTCAATCTCAGTATGGGACAGTAAGCAAGCTTTCTAATTGTAAAGCTGACCTGCACACTTATTAGAAATTGTGGAAACTCCAGATCTTATTGAATCAAGTAAAAGGTAACATATCACCCCTGAGGACTAGACAGCAAAAAAACAAAACAAAACAAACTAAAAACCTCCAGTGTAGCTCATATATTAAGTCTCTCAATAACTAAGAACAGCCAGTCATACTAAATTATCTTTAACTACATGGACAAGCTCCAAACTGAAAATGGCCAGGATCTATTTTCAAAGAGAGTATAACACAGCAGTCCTTGAACAAATACTCCAGAGCACAAAACTGTAAATTCAAATCTTGCTTCTATCTGTTTATGGAACAGGTCATTCAAAACTGTGTTTCTGAGGAATAGTACCTAAGTCTCAAAGGCTTTTATGATTAAGTCAATTAGTTCATAATCAGTAACAACAGGCCCTGAATAAAACTATTCATGTCACTGTTATTGCAGTCATTACTAAGACACACAGAAACCCCAAAAGGGAGGACCCCCTAAAGGAAGACCAACACTGACAGCACTGTTTTCTATTAAGGACATAAAGTGAAGCTTTTTAGAGCACGGATTAAAAAGGCCTATAGGACAAGCGGAAACGGTAATGAGCAATGCAAGAGAGTTATAACAGACCAGGCCAGGGAGACAGCTCAGCTGGAGAAAAGTGCTTGCCATGCAGGCTTTACAACCCTCAGAGCCCTGAACCCATGTAAAAGTCAGATGCAGCCTGTCTTCTGACCTGCATCCAAGTGCTGGAGCACATGCATGCCCTCAACATACACTCACACACACACACACACAAGACTGCAAGACTGTGGTTCAAAGGGGAAAAAATGTGATGTCCTACATAAATGTTGAGATCACAAGCAGGACACGTTCACCTCTGGTGCTCTGAATTTTAAATTCTATCGCAGCCACAACCCCAACCCCTAAGTTCTGTCACCATAAAAACTAAAACAGACAACAACAACAAAAAAAAACCCCACGTTCCAACCGGGTGGCAGCGGCACACGCCTTTAATCCCAACACTAGAGAGTCAGAGGCAGGCGGATCTCTGTGAGTTCGAGGCCAGCCTGGGCTACAGAGTGAGTTCCAGGAAAGGC